CTACCATTGTCTATGGATCGATCTTTGCGTGGCACTCGTGGTATTCCTCTCGCTATCCCGTCAAGCAACCCATCCAGTGGCACAAACACACCACGTCGGAAGCCAATTCTAGCTCCATTACGGCGATCCTATAGCAAAACAGGCGATCCCAATATACCCTGGACCAGTTCAAAGACTACAGTCCGGTCTTCCGCGTCGCGTAAGTTTTCCATCTCCGGCAGTTTGGTGTACTCCAACGCTATCTGGTATTGGTTGTCTGGATTCGCCCTGTCGAAATCCACGGTAAATGGGATTGTTTGTTATTAGAATTTGATCAGTTTCTGTTTACTCTAATATTTTTCACAACAAATGACCTTGGACCGTAGTCCCACGGCTTTGGTCGCTTCTCATTTACTAGATCAACCAGGGTGGAGTAAATAGGAGAGTTGATGTACGAACGGTACTGTTAACTACATTCAACAATATCACTGTGTATCTAGCGATTTAGAACACAATTTCAGGCGAACAATTGTTTTCAATAACTCATAATCATGCCGTTACAGTTTATGTGAGGGGAAGAATCCTAGTGGTTGGGAGGAGAACAATAAAATGTGAGAAATCGTTCACTTTGTGCATGCGTGTCTGTGTGTGTGTTGCACGCCGCATTCTCAGATCTGTGCTTCCGGCGTTTTAAGTTGTCACGTTGATCGTGTGACCCAGTTCTGAGGGATCGGTGTTATTGTGAATGATATTATGTTAATAACACAGAGATTTATGTTCGCCGACGTTGTTGTCGTGTGAAAATGTGTGTGGGGGCATGGGGGAGGGGTGGGTTCGCGAACCTAGAATGCGGTGTGCAACACACATACAGACACGCATGCACGAAGTGAGCGATTACTCACATTTTATTGTCCTTCTCTCAACCCCCAGGTTTTTTCCTCTGTAACTATTGATCAGGATGAGAACAAGGTCCCTAATCGGAGTGCTTAATGCAACCCGTTTTCCCCTAGCATCCTGATCATCTGAAAAACAGGATCATTTTCACAACTTTATCTACTATGGAGTTGTACATAAAAGGAAAGCGAGAGAGTAGCCCTAAGGAACACCGCTTTCTTCAGTGAGCTGTGCCAGAAAGCAGTCAACCTCAAAAATAGATTTGTAAATAAATAATAGGTGAACTTCCGTATTACTCTTCAAGGAGAGGTAATGCGAAAGTACCACGCAGCCGACTTAGTCGAAGACCGGTTTTTGTTCATAATAGTTAAAACAGTGGGCTTATGAAAGGAATTTGTTGGAGGGTAAGAATATATTCGATGCATACTCGATCTGGTCTAATACTAGCCTGGCTCTCGTGCGTGTATCTGACTCGCGTGATAGACAATCGATAGAGTGTGACACCAGCAAGAAGCTTTGAGGTTGTGTTAATGAAGTTACTTTCTCCCATGGTCTTCGAAATAGCGACTGTCTGCTTCTTCGTTAATTCAGAATATTTCTCATTTTTACGTCCTATTGAATGCACAATGAAAGATTTTTAAGGAAAGGGGAAGCGGCCAATCAAAGGGTTACCATAGGGAAAGCCATACACTGGTGATGGGATTCTATCACATGTCCTCCGGGGAGATTATTTGGTGACGTTATCACCGGGCCACCACCGAATCCTCGAAAACTTATTTACTTTCCCACAGTAAAACGAAGAGTCCTGCGAGCCCAAAACAAATTTCGAGTCCCTGTCCTTTGAAGTGGATGGCAAGACACCATCCTTGTACACCTTGAGGTGACCTGTAATAGAGTTAGTAGTAGCTTTGTCTTGCCTCAAGCTGGTGATATGACTGTCATTATCATTGTCACTATTCTACATGTGTACATTCAGTAGCATTTCGTGGATATTCGTTTAGATTTAAAAGTCTACAATGCCACGACCAGCATGAAGACCCTTAGGGATTGCATCGGGGCAGAATGTTGCGGACACGCTGTACACAGTAAGGTTAAGTTGGGCACACCTGCCACACATTATAATTTGAAATGACTCTTCACGAAGGTTCATTCAACTTTTTTCATCCTTTTATCGCATTTTCAGCCTGAGTTAAAGGTAATGTTTTTGGTGTGCACTACGAAATCAACTAACTACAGATTCACGATACCCGACCGCATTGTAAAAGCCAATTCAGTGATATTTGTTGGGTTCTGTTGCAGATAGTTTAGGCTAAAGGATTTAGAGCTAGAGCGACTCATTCGCGCTATAGCCAGCCATGAGATGACCGTTAACGAGTTCGTACTCGTTAAATCTGTTGTTGCTTAGCTAAGTCCTTATCTCTGTGACCGAGTTTTTGTTATTCTGCCCTGATCACTAAATTGTCGGGCTGCATCCCCAAATCATGTCATATCTGATGTCATATGAAGATTAAACGTGGGTTCAGAAGTCACAAGGAACATTTGGTAACCGAAGCGCTCCTGATGAACGCTGAACTTGGAGCAATCAGTCGATCCGATGGGGCGGTCAGTCATTCCACAGTTATGGCAACAATTAACACTTGTGCATACTAAATAGTCTACCCCCCACCCCCAAAGGCCAAGTGACCAATCCACACGTTTTGACCTAAAGGTCAAACCAATTTCATTCGTCCCAACCACCCCCACCACCTGTTGAACGATCACCAGCACACACACACGCATGTTCGAATCACATCCGAGTTCTATACGATGTCATCATCCCATAGCTTTATAGTTGCTTGCAAAGTGAAATTAATCGATTAAACGCCATTGTGTTTTGGTTTTCATTCGTCGTGGCTAAGACAAGCTAATTTCCTCAGCGTAGGCGGCGTCCATGCGTGGGTTCGAATCCCACCGAGGCTACTGAACTTTTCACAATCAACATACAAACTTCAAATCTGCCAGTTAACTGTTTGAACAATTTCCTCAATAATCATGAGCACAACGCGCAAGTTTTTCAGTGAAATCCGTTCCATCCATGGAGCTCGTGAAACTAAGATTAAACGTGTTTTTTCAGCTTCAGGTAATGCTTGGTACGAGATATTATCAACGGTTAATAAAGGCACAATGATAGGGACAAAGTATCTTTGCTTATATGCACACATCTCCTTTATCGTCCATCCTATAGTCACCATAAGTGAACGGTTGACCTCCGTAACTACAGTGCCCATCCATGCCACTATTCATCATGCACTGGTCTGTAATAAAGTTAACTGAAAGAGACTAACGAGAAGCAACGGCCTGTCGTAGACCTTCGCACATTTCTTTAGTGCAACAGAAACCGTTTGTGAAGTATGATATGTTTTGCTCGACTATCTGGCTGTTCCATATCCATTCCTACCAATAAGCCTGATGATTTGATCGGCCTATATTTGTCCTTTCTGTGTTGATGCATAGTACTTCACGCAATATTCCAATCGGTCTATTGATTGTCTTTTTTTCCGATGCAGCAGTTCGCGGCGTCTCACCTTCTCTTTTACCTACTCGGGCAACTATGGTGCGTCAAAGCGGCCGTTCTTGGGGCGCACTGAACAACACCAGTCCTGTTCGTGACCAGGGTTCGGATGCCAATCGATTCGGTTTTCCGAAAAGCATCACCACCGCGTCTATGTCAGAAACCCTGGATCCAAAAATGCTGGATCGGAAGGATCACTCATCCTCACCACGTAATGCATCTCGACAGACAGTGAAATCGAGTCGTGTTCCGGAGGACGATGATGATGATGAAATTTACGACGACGACTATGAGAATGACGACGATGATGAAGATGAGGTGGGCGTTGATGACGAAGCGCTGATTTATGAGGATCTCTCGAGTGATAGTGATGAAAAGAGACACATGCCCGATTGTAGACGTAAAGAATACGGTTCGGGAGCTTCCAAAATTCAAACAGCTGATGCACGATTGGATAGCAAGCGCATTCTATGTCGTTCGATTGATTCTGAGCTGTCCGAAGTAAGTAATAGCCGTTGATTTGCTGCTAATCAGCTTCATCTTAGCAAAACTTACACAAAGTCCTTGAAGTTTTGGAACTGAAGTGCGTTTCTTTCAATATCCTTTGGTATCGACATTTAAGTTTTAAATAAATTTTGCGGTGCCTAATAAAAAGCACAACAAGAAGTTCTCTTATTCTGTTCACACTATATTTTGTATAGGTTAGTAAACTTTGCAACTAGTAAAACCGCCGTATCACATATACAAGCTGCCAGAGCGATAAAATCAAACAAACTGACTGGATGTTATTGACTGGAATTAGCCGTTTTTATGTCGGTCCGTTGTTCTGTCATATGGTTATCAGGAAGTTGGTGTACTAGCAATTTCACGCTGATGTGTAGTCATTTCCAAGCCATGTCACTCAATGCCCCTCATCTGCTAATAAGTTATGAACGACAGAACACATGACCTGAGAAACGGTCTGCAGACTGTTTTCACTCTTGCAGTTGAATGCCGTCCAATCGATTGACCATTGAAAGATAATGGACATGAATTCATCCTTATTGAGACGGGGTAATCTTGGTCTACTGTCGTCTGTATTATTTTTGGGACGCCATGGTATAACCGATTGACTTCAGTAGTTCTGATTCTGCGTACGGCACTGATCAGGCAAATGCGCGCTGTCAGGCTCTGCAGCAGGTCGGGTTTCTACATCGAGAAGCGAAGTTACTATCTCAGATTACGGCTCAACCCGATTTCTTCAACACACCGCATTCCAATCCAACCCCTCAAAATAAATTTTGGCAATACAGTTAGAATCCCAAAGCCTCATCTTTTTCGAGCTTCATAGTGACGAAATTCACACCAATGAAGTGATGTGCTGTTGGTTTGTTTTACCCAGTCACCATCATTATCAGATAATGGAACTATATTTTTCCGTTTTGTTAGATTTATGTTCAGTTTATGTAAGTTGATTAAACATTCACAGTGTAATGTTAGATCTTTAGACAAAGTCAACCATCCAAGGTGTTCAGTGAACATCGATGACCAGTCAAGCTGGTGACCACCTCATGAACTATGAAGGTGTGGGTGGTTAAGGTTCGTACGTTTCTTCTTGGTTGGTTTAAAATTAGAGTTTTTTAGTCCACTCCTTAGTTGAACTACCAGTGATACACCGACCGGATTGTGGCCCCAGATTTTGGCTTTTTATCCTCTCACTTTGGTGGGGAAACGACTCCATCACGAGAAGACAGTGGGTAGGGCTTCCTCAGTAGGGGTTGTTTGAGGCGCTTGGTCGTATTGAAGTATTTCGCGAGTAGCAAGAGAAAGGTGACCAGATACAACTCGAGATATGCACTCCGGACCAACCTGAGGGTTTCGGAATCTTTTGATCGATTTACGGTGTATGGGCGATGTTTTCTATCCAAAAGTAATTTTTTGTCCTCTCTTGATTTCCTTGCAACTGTCTATTTGTTTATCAAATGTCTAGGTGACCAGTATTCGTAGTGCTGCCTCCCATCGTCGAGCAATGCGTTTGTTCGAGGAAGCTGAGCGCAAACGTCGTCAGGGTGATTCGTTACAGTCCGATGAGGATCGGATACGTCGGAGTTTGCAAGAACCGCTTCGTGTCTCAGTGACCGAGGCGAACTGTGCTGTCCCGGTTTTGGACCCAGTGGTTGTTCCTGCCCTACCTGTACAGCGATCTACTCTAGCCAAAGCTACGGCACAACGGTGAGCTGATTTTTGTGTTCTAACTGGGGTGCATAGTCTAAGATGCGTGACGGTTTGATTTCACCGTTTCTACTCGTTCGTATTACTACCAGCGGTAAACAATCCTTGATCCTGTTCAGTGTGACATATCAAAAACGGAATAGTGACGGTAAGAAACAGCCCTCCGCCTGACCTTCGAAAAAAATTGTACGAAGCTCTCAATATAGCAATGACGAGGTTTGCGCACCGCCTTTCGCTGGTATGTTGCAAGCGCGGCCCAAATCACAAAAGGGGGACTACCGATAGTGTTCTAACTGATATAATTCGGTCCGTTCCACAAGTCTTTCTCATTGTAGAAGAAACTGATAAAATTAAACGTTTCTTTCATCTCATCGCTGTGGTACGTCCCCTAGACCACACACCTCTATGCTCATCCCGGTGCGATTATGCATGCCGGTTATCGTCACTCGTGTATGTATATAACAGAAATTTCCCGGCATTTAGGACTGAATAACGGCCTCTCATTTCTTGGGATCACTGATTCGATGGTTTTGAATGTGAGCTCAGAAGCCCACATTCCATTCGTAGATGCCACATCTGAACATGACTTGAAATGAAATTACGCTGAACCTCCGCTAACTAAACTAATTTGTCAGGCCAATGAACGTTGACTACTTTTTTTAAGGGCCTGCGGTTGTCTGACTATTGTGCATCAAATTTTCAAAATTTCGCTCCCATTTTTTTCTAGCATTAAATTTTTCCAATGATTGTTTATTCCGTAGCTTTCTTCATAAGCTTGTCAAAAATGAGAAAGAAAACTGGCTACTTAACGAAGTTGTATCCGGAAAAGCAAGACGTTTATTTCATATACTGCAACATTTTATTCAAACATAATATATTTATTTATAAATCCAAGTAAATAATACGTGGTATGCTCAAGTGTGTTTGTTTCCAATGGTGCCTGCGAGTGTTAAAATTGATTTTCGGTGGAACCATTTCAGTGATGTATTTTGTGTGCGCAACTCATGTACACAGCGTTCTTGTGCAAAGCGCTACAACTTTACCGGTTGAATTGAAATCTGTGGTTGTTGTCAACCGGTTGTGAGATCGAATTCGCCCATTATTACACTCAGTCGAGTGATATGCTGAGCTCATCATGTTGTCCATGCACTGACGCTGCATGCACGTTATATAGGTTTGTTGGAAGCTGCCCTGAATTACTAAATATAAGATGTCTATTGTTAACAAAGAATCGTATAATGATCCTATAGACCATGTGAGCCAGATTTTTTTACTCTGATTTACACGTCAATCCCACAGACCGCTGGAACGCGAAATTAGCACGCATTAGCTGCCTAACGTTCCCTACCCGATCCACTGTATTCTGACACGGTACGATGACAATATTCACTCAATCGCAGTTTCTCCCTCTGTGTGTCTGTGTGCGTACTGTGATGGAGATGAGGGTACTTAAATTCGTGTTCTCATCTGGTACGTGAAAGACATAATGTACTTTCATCGTGATTGTTTTCGCTTTCGTACTTCGTCGATTCACTAGTCCGGTTGGACGTGGCAACGCCGAGTATCATAAATTTGTTTTGGGCTCCTGGCTGCCAAGGCAACGAGGTCAATGAACACTGACAAGTGCGAGTGAAACAATATAAACGCAACATTTCACGAAACAATCAATCAACGGCTTGATTAAATTGTCCCCTTGCATACTGTTCTTTTTCATTCCAGCGATTTGATCAACTACATACACTACTGTGATCTAAAATGTATTTATAAGTAAATTGATCAATAAAACAGTCAAGCATTGTTTGATATTGGTATAGTGTAACTGTAGAGGATGAGAAATTAGTCGGTGCTGGTATATGGAAGTGATCATGAATACACCCATCAATATCTTCAGCATCATTTTCTCCAGAACTAGCTGTGTGGGCAGAAATACAATGCATGTAAATAGAGAGCGTTTCGTCTGTTGGTAACAGTCGCAATCATTTGCCTCTTATATGGAGTGCGAGTACACAAAAGTTGTTCGTAATTGCGATAATTAGGGAGCTTAACACTGATTTGCATTCAGCAGTACCGTTTCAAACAATGGACAGAACATTTTGAGGCATACTCCGACTAACTTCCATCGGCATTAGATATTCCACCGTCTGTCTCAAGTGTATCTCAATAAACAACAGACCTCGGAAATGAAGGTTGGTGGAGAACGAGTTTCCTCAACTGGTTTATAATGTCTCTACCCCGAATTTTTACCCTCATTAGTTCCATCGACGCAGGGTCAATATTCAAGTTAACAAACGCTTGGATTCAATATGAGAAAGTGAACAAGTCTCAAATGAATCGTACAAATCGGTCATCATCGATTGATCCTGTTGAGAATCACACAGAAATTAGTTAAATAAAAATCGTCGCAGAGCTTTCTGCCAACATTACGCTCCATTGATTATCTGCGAAACGAGAACGGCGCTTGCGTACGGACCAGGTTAATATCAGACCGGAGCAAAACTGTGTCAATCATATTTTCGACTTTCGACAACGTCTGTCACAAAGGCATTGCTTCCATGGGCCCATCATTGCTATTCTTCTTGACTTCAGAACAGACTTCGACTTTATCAGCCGTACTGTAGTTTGGTGCTGCCACACCAGATGAATACAGGAGGTCTTTTCATCAGTTTTACTTCATACGGCTACCACTTTCACGCCTTACAGCCGAAACCGCGTTCGAGCTTACAGTCTTTTTTGCTCAAGTTCATGAAGGTTGTTGCCCGTTAGATTTTTCTGTTTTCTTTTTCTTAACTTGATAAAATACCCTAGTTTTCATACATCTATTGTACTCAACTTGATAATTCATGCCTGCCCCTATGTGTTCCACATTTGTCAAGCAAATCCAGGCAATGCAACTTTTGTAACAAAGAAAACAATTCAAGTAAGTTGTTTTGAGCGCTACCAGGTCGCCCGATTCAACGTTAGCGTTTTTCTTTGAACTTCGGAACTGGGGCTTTTGGTTACTAAGAGGCTGATTAACAAGGCCGCAACTCGTGGTGTGTTTTATCAGTCAATTATGATGTTCTGGGGCCAGATGCTGAGCACATGATACACTCTATTCATATATATATATATATATATACATATATATATATATATTCCTACCAGATATGTTCGTAGTTGTTTGGTAGAACGTTGCTCGATTTCTTTTGTCTAATTTCCAGTCGTACTACCTCGGGAAGTTCTATGATCGGAGCTAGCTTATCCGGTCCGCCAACAAATGTGGATCACAAACCAATCACAACATCCACTGCACTCGACAACAGTTCAATTCGTTCGACTCCGGGTGCCAAATATAATCCTTACACGGGTGCATCGTTCCGGGAGAATCCGGACTATGCAGACCTAGTGATAGGTCATGCAGCCGGTTGTTCTCCTTCATCTACAACCCATGTTCCAAGTGCACCTTTGGAGGTTATTCGTACCGGTTCTAATCAGTTACACGGTTTACACGAACGGAGACCATTGCGGGGTAAGTGAAACCTTTCCACAGGGCTGACAGTTGCGGGTTCTCTATTTTGTCGGTGTCAAAAGTCAATACAATCTTGGTTCACGTGATTTCATTCGGGTCATTGATTTTTAATGAAATGTGACAAACTGTAACGGATCACTGGTAATGTTTATGGACTGCTGAAGGTGTTTGAGGATGGCCTTTTCAGTCAATTTAAGAGCTGAAGATGTTAATGCTATGGGGCGAAAACATTTGGAGAGGATGGAAGATTTAGATGCTTTTGGGATTGGTATGATTGTGAGCGGCCTCCAACAGTCAGGGATAGTCGAATAATTAAGAGATTCATTGACAATGAAGGTAATTGCCCCAGCTAGGGAAGCAGCATCAAATCTGAAGAGGGCTGGATGTAAGTCATCCGGGCCTGCGGCGGAAGACGAATTGCAGCTTTTTAAAAGTTTTAACACATCGCGAT